GACCCCAGGGGTCCGGTCACCTGGACCGGACGACTACCACGATCCCAGGTGTCCAGCCGCTGTCGGAGTGGTTTCGCGACTCCTGCGCGTCCGGTCCGACCAGCCCCTCTCAGGATTTGCCCTCACACGTGCGCCGAATGGCTGACACGTGCCCAGCCACGTGGCGGCCGTGCGCGGCGGACCGTCGCTCTCGCCGAGCTCAACGCTTACCGAGGCGTGCAGCCGCAAGGACACGCTGGAAAATGATGAAGCTGATTAAGGCACGAATGTGGTGAAAGTGACGCAGAATGCTAAGAGACTTAAATACTTATTGTGATTGCGTAGTGAAAACCAGAATGGGTCCTTAATGAATATTTGGTAATTGAGAATGACATACATGAGCTTTTGGACTAAAGTACGTCTATATCTGAATCATGGCCAATAATTCCCACCAGACACACGTCGGCCGTCATCTGTGTCCGTTCTGTCCCGACTAAGGCGTATCGTTGAATTGCTAAATGAGACATGAACGAAACGGGCAGCATCCAATGGCGATGTCACATCCGGTGCTGGTGTCAGGTCTCGACGACTGTCATTCTACAAACGCATCGATTCCTTAGACCAGTGGCGTGGTAAGTAAACAACTTTGCACCCAGGCTTAGTGCACCAAGAGCACGTACATTAATGGCGCAGTGTTCTAGCAAAGCGTTTTTGTTCCAATATTTGATTGGTCATTTTGAAGACGATGTAGGCTCGACGGTTCCGCGTCTTGGCAAGTCGGCTCAAATGTGCTTTGCTTCTATCTAATGGCGTCCCGCTAGTGAATCGGCTGGTAGTAACATCGCGAGCGGGGTTAGGCTATTCACCCCTCGTTCATTTGCCAGAGTGGGTCGCGGGCATCCACGTTCCCCGGGCGGCCGTCCGGTGGACAGCGGAGGTTGGCCCCTGGGCTGCGCACACAAAGCCGTAGCTGTGCTGACTGAGCCGAACGGGGCGGTGGGGGAGGGGGGGGGGGGGGGGGGGGAGGGAGCGCGGCGGGCGCCGGGCCGCGTGGTGGTGACCGCCGCCGCCGCCGGCGTTCCCCGTTCGGTCGCTATCGCCACCGACAGGCGCTGGACAGGCGGCAGCTGGACGGCCAGCCGGACCCTATTACCGGAAGTGGTCTCCCGTGCCCGCCCTCTCCCCAGCCGCCACCGCTGCGGCACGCTCGCTTCCCTCCCCTCCCCCTCCCCCCCGCCCATGACCGGGGTGGAAGGGGTCACCGTGGGGGCAGGGCGACGTGGCTGAACGCCAGCTGATAAACGGCGCTCAGGGTTCCACTGTAGCGCCCGAAGTCCAAAATATAAATTGCCGTCATCAGAGATGACCCAGATACTGTCGTATGCATACAGTTACTGCATACACCCGCCTGAGTTTTTCAGTTTCCATTGACTTGGGCACACATTGGAAAACCACACCGAAGGCGGCGTGTGTTGTCTGTACCTGGCGCGACGGTTATACACTGAGCGCGCGATCACGGTTTGAATTGTTGTTCGTGACTGATGGTAGATCAAATAAGCAGACCCAGTGATCAGTCAACATTTGACAAGGGGTACGCCGGACATCTCGGTAGGACCATGATGCCAGCAGCTTTAGTACCAACGGAACATGGCTGTCGGATGGCCTATACTGGAGCGACGCTTTTACCGACGGTCCGGACGCGGGAAAGATCCGCTGCTCTAGAGGGATGCCATTCTCGACGCCGGACGCGTCCCCGCCGTCGGGTCCCCCGTGCGGCGCAATCACCGCCAGGAGGCGCCGCCATTGAGCCATTGAGCGCAGCCGGGCGTACGTGGTGCGCGCCTCCGCACTTTTCCAGAGGGATTATTGGTAGTGCGCGCTATGGCGTGCGCCCTGCGCTCTGTGGCATGCGTCGTGCGCTCTGTTGCTTGCGTCCTGTGGTCTACGGCGTGCGTTTCGTGCTTTGTGGCCTGTGCCCTGTGCTTGGTGCTATGCGTCCTGCGCTTTAAGGCGTGCGTCTGTGCTCTTTGACGTGCATACTGTGCTCTGTGGCGTGCGTCCTGCGCTCTGTGGCGTGCATCCTGCGCTCTGTGGCGTGCATCCTGTGCTCTGTGGTGGTACCCAGCCATCTGCGCGGCTCAGAAGCCGGTACGATAGCGCGGCGGCCGCCGGCGCGTCATGCATTCCACCGGACCGGTCGAGGAGCCTCCGCTGTGGGTGCCTCAGCGCGGGTCGGACAGCCCGAGCCCCGCGTCAAGCCGCGCCGCGTCGGGCGGTCCCGGCGGTCCCGACAGGCCCCGGCCCGGCCGCTGCCGAGAGCGGCAGTCAGTGGGAGCGGCCTCACATGGCCGGCCGTGACATGACGACCCGGCGCGGCGGCCATGACTCACAGCGCCAGCTGATTGCGCGGCGAGCGTGGCGCGCCCGCCTGAGTCAACCGGCGCGTGCAGGGGCGGCTGCAGGCACGCGCGGCCTGCGGCAGCTCAGCGTCGGGTTCGGCGGCGCTCGGCTCTGACGGCTAGTGGGTCGGCCATCTCCCGCGCCGCAGCGAGGCACGCCCAGCATTCTAGGAGAGCGAGCACGTAAAACGAGACCGGCGCGAGCTGTTTGTTCTGGGCTTGCATAAATCAGCGGTACGCGGCGGCGTCCGAAAGTGCTCCTTTAAGCCCCGCGTCGTGCGACGCCTGTGAAGCGGGTCGGGCGGATTCGGGGTTAGGTGCGGTGGCGACGGTCGGCGCCGCGCGGAGGGGGCGACGCTGTCGAACGCGGTCGCCCCTGTCTCAGATAAGATACGTTGCAGGTGTTGCTCCCACGCCCGGCGATGGCGTCCCCGCTTTGTGCCGTGATGCCGATACAGCGAACCCGAGGATTGCGGTCGCGGCCCGAGACGACCCCAGTCCGGCAGAAGTGGAGTGCACATCCTGGCACGTTCCGCTTGGCTCGCTCGATGTGAACTGTAGAGCCGGTTAGCGTGGTCGGCCGCCGCACGCGGGCGTGATGGCGCGGGGGCGGGGTTCCGCACGGCCGGGTTTTGTCGTGGCCCTGGCCAGGGGTGAGGATGCGTAAGGGAGATCCCTGCTGGTTCGTGACGTCACGGCTGACGTCAGCCGTCGGTTGATCGGTCAGAATGGGCCTCTGTGATGTCTTCTCCCTCCATTGGGTCCACGTAGTCAGTGGTGGTTGATGCATTACGATGCATTCTCATAAAACAAACGACCGTTTTATCGTAGATCTCTCGACACGAGAACGACCGTCGCTACACTCGTTGAGATATCGGCCACATCGTCAGGGAAAATGCGGATATGATAGCGATGTTTGATCACAGTCAGCCTTAATCTAACAAAGATTCCTGTTTATATGCTTGTGTTGCTGCGCTTTTTGTGAGTACGCCCCATGCTTGTCGCGAGTACTAACGTCAGGCAACAACCTATGCGGGGTGTGACTGGCAGTGTTTGTGACCCATTCCTGAAGACACTGAGGAGGACGACAGCATGCCTGTTTGCTTGGCCATGCGTTCCGTCCCAAAGCGTGTAGCATTCCCAGAAACCTTCCTTCCTCCCGTCGCGAGGTCTCCTTCCGTCTGGTCATCAGGGGGGGGGGGGGGGGGGGGCTAATGCGTCTAACAATAGCCCACAATGCCGACGCCCGTGGACGGCGGGCGCTGTCTGGGCGGTAACAGCCGTGCGTCCGGTGCCGTGCGCCATCTGGGTGGTACCAGCCGTGTGTCCCGTGCCGTGCGCTGTCTGGGTGGGAACAGCCGTGGTTCCCGGGCCGTGCGCCGGCATTGTGCAGGCGCCGCCGCCTGGACCGCCTGGCCATTGTCCGGCCGGCGGCACGGCCGTGCCAAATGGGTGGCTGCTGCACGTGCCAGCCGGACCCTGCAGGTGGCACCGCGAGCTGGCTGAGGCGCCGCCACCAGGCCGTACCGCCTGTAGTGCTGCGAGCCGGCTAGCTAGAGGCAGCAGACCACACCACCTGTAGGGCTGCAAGGCGGCCAGCTAGGGATGGCAAACCGTACCGCGTGTGGGGCTGCGAAGCAGCTAGCTAGCGCCTGTTCAGGGGCGACTCAGGGGCGGCGGCCGGAGATGAGGCGTGTTCAGGGGTGGATCAGGTGCGGCGGCCGGAGATGAGGCGTGTTTCAGAGGTGGATCAGGTACGGCGGCCGGAGATGGGGCGGTGTTCAGGGGTGGATCAGGTGCGGCGGCCGGAGATGGGGCGTGTTCAGGGGCGGACCAGGGGCGGCGGCCGCAGATGGGGCGTGTTCAGGGGTGGATCAGGTACGGCGGCCGGAGATGGGGCGTGTTCAGGGGCGGACCAGGGGCGGCGGCCGCAGATGGGGCGTGTTCAGGGGTGGATCAGGTACGGCGGCCGCAGATGAGGCGTGTTCAGGGGTGGATCAGGTACGGCGGCCGGAGATGGGGCGTGTTCAGGGGCGGACCAGGGGCGGCGGCCGCAGATGGGGCGTGTTCAGGGGTGGATCAGGTACGGCGGCCGGAGATGAGGCGTGTTCAGGGGCGACTCAGGTACGGCGGCCGCAGATGAGGCGTGTTCAGGGGTGGATCAGGTGCGGCGGCCGCAGATGAGGCGTGTTCAGGGGGTGGATCAGGTACGGCGGCCGCAGATGAGGCGTGTTCAGGGTTGGATCAGGTGCGGCGGCCGGAGATGGGGCGTGTTCAGGGGTGGATCAGGTGCGGCGCCCGGAGATGAGGCGTGTTCAGGGGCGGACCAGGGGCGGCGGCCGCAGATGGGGCGTGTTCAGGGGTGGATCAGGTGCGGCGGCCGCAGATGGGGCGTGTTCAGGGGTGGATCAGGTGCGGCGGCCGGAACGCAGCCGTCCCATTAGGGCAGGCTGGCTTGGTCCAGCCCTACTTTTTGGAGGAGCGGAACAATGAAAAGGAAGGTCGTGACAGTTTGTTTGCCATTAGAAGTATGCAACGGTGACTTTGGGTCGGTGTTATTGAAATGCAACAATTAAAGGAACCTTATTAAGTGAAGGATTCGAAGGAAGGGAATAGAGAGGGTCAGATCATTCCGTCATCATGAAATATATATATATATATATATATATATATATATATATATATATAGAGAGAGAGAGAGAGAGGAGAGAGAGAGAGAGATAAACAGTTGCTCTTTTTGAGTTTCGTCAGTCCACGCCAGAATGATTTTGCCGCGTATTGACCTGTTACGTATGTTGCGCGCTGAGCTACAGCTGTCGCGGACCAGCCCCGGCGTCAGATGTGTATGTTATGACCTGTGGTGACCTGGGGTGGTAAACTATCCGATGGTGACCAGGCATGGCTCCAGCCGCCACCGGCCCAGCCGTGCGCACGGGCGTGTGCCTGGCAATGGCTTGACCTGCGCTGACCCGACATCTCTTCCAGCCGCCGCGCGCGCACGCGGGCTGGCAGTCGTTGTCGGCGCTGGACTTCCAGCCGGCCTGCCCGCAGCCAGCCCGCTACGTGTGGCATCAAGCACGGCATCAGGGAGGTGGACGAGGACTGCCTCTTACCTCAACGTCTTCACGCCCAGTGTGAGTCCTGCCGGCCGCGCCGGTCCCTGCCGTGACGTCACCGCCGGGCGCCGGCCGTCCGTTCGGGCTGCGCGCGGCATTCATTGTCGGCGGGCGGAGACCGTACTGTCGCCGGGTCGGCCTTTCCGCTCGACGAGCTAGAGAGTCAGTCGCACTGGATGCCACAGCATTTGCGAAGCTGTGGAATGCCTAGGACTGTCTCGACAGGCGGCGGCTCTTCGCTGAAGCGAGGCGCGATGGTGTCCCATTGTCAGGCGAGCTGTGTCAGGCGTCGTCAGGTGGGCACCTGAGAGGTTTGGTCAGTGGACAAGCTCCGACCACGGCCGAGTCGCTGTTCCATATGCGGTGGTAGGCCTGAAGAATTTACTCACATGGTAGGCATTTCAAAATAAAGTAATGGATTGGCGTATAATGTATATAAATACATTGCATATCATAGAGCAATGGATAGTTTCGCGATGTGGATTTTGGGTAGTGGATTCCAGGATTTTGGTACCAAGTTTCATCGCTGAAATTTTTTTGGGGGGAGAGGGTCTGGACGCGTTTTATATTTTGTAATGAAAGACTCCATGGACTAAAGTACTGGTCATATGTTTGTCAAATTTTCCCAGGATGTATGGCCAGTTACACAATTTTGTCACTTATTTTGTTTAATTGACTTACCCGAGTTGGGTTGCGATACATGCGTGCTGGCACATGTAACTGGTCTTGTTTCACATCCGAAGTTCACGAGGTTGAGTTTCATTGTTGTTGATTGGAGTTTTAGGGCGCATCGACTACTGTGGTCATTTTGCGCCTGTAACAGCTAAATAGTTGCCTACGGCGGTAAAAGACTAAAAAATATATATTAGAGGTTGAGCTTCACAAGCTACCCGAGGCAAAACATGTCACCGGATGGGAGACAGATTTCAAGTGCGCAAAATCAGGTAAAAGTACGGCGCTAGCCAAGGTTTTGTTGCGTCCTTTCAGGATGAGGTGCCTTCTGGCACGTTGAACTGGAGCTATGATTTTGGTAGTGTTGCTGCGTTTCGTAATATTGAGGGCTGTGCCGAAGGATCCTCTGGGATCCGTCATATGTCTTAAAATGTTTTCAATTGATTCCCCGGGTACGTATCTGCTAACGATCTCAGAAAGTGTCCCACGATGCTGTGAGGTCTACGTAGATTTTGTCAAAAGATCAGCGGATCTGGGATTCTGTTTTAGAATAGCACAGGCCTTAACTGAACAGGAGTTTTTTAATATATATATATATATATATATATATATATATATATATATATATATATATATTATGCCCCTGCCGCCCAACGCGCGTCGATCTCAGCGGTACCGTTTGGACCTTGCTTTCGTACACTGTTAAACTGAAAGGAGTGCGATCTTTGTGGCAGCTTATTTGTTTTCGAGTATTGTTGGTGTGTGATGACTGCTTGTGGCTGTGTAATATTCTTATTTCTACGTTTGGTGTGAACTGATGACTTGTATTTCACGTGCAGACGTATTCTTCCAAGAGCACGAGAGCTGTGGGACGATGGCAGTGACCCCTCAACTGTGGTAACACATGTGTTTCGCCCTCCCCACTCCCCCTCAACTGTGCAGAAAGTTTGTTTCATTAGCCGTGTGTGCTATGCATGGAAAAAGGGGCTAAGGGAGCGCTGCAATATCTTTGTGTGCGTTGTGGTAAAAGGGCTCATAGGGCGCTTTAATGGGGGTGCCGATAGTGTAGTGGTTAACGCGTCTGCGTTAACCACTGCGCGTCTGGGAATCCAGAGGTACGGGGTTTGATTCCTCGCGGTGCCCGCCCTTCCTGCCAGGGTGAGAGGCAGGCGACGCCATATACCCCCAGCAGTTGAGTGCGTCGTAAAGCCCCAATGGCATGACATGACATGACAGGGTACTATTACACCCCCATGTGCGATGCATGGTAAAGGGGCTCAGAGAGTGCTATAATAACCCGGGTGCGGTGCATGGTAAAGGGGTCCAGAGTGCTCTTTGGTACCCCTGTGTGCCCTGTGTGCGGTAAATGGTAAAACAAGGGGTTTGGAGAGCGTTATAATACCCCTGTGTGCGGTTTGCGCTAAAACAAGAGATTCAAAGGGGTCTTTAATGCCCCTGTGTGCGGTGCCTGGTAAAACCAGCGGTTCAGAGGATGCTATAATACCTCTGGTTGCGGTGTATGGTAAAGGGGTTCAGCGAGGGTTATTATATCTCTCTACTCGTGGTAAGGCGACGCTGTCGAGCCTGACTGGATCAGTTGCGAAATCAAGCCACCGACTAGCGGTGGGTTCATATGGGATGATCAAATTGATAGAATGCGTCATCACGGGTATTTGCCATTCCCAGCTTGTACCTTAGCTTCCGGCTGAAGGGGTCCGATAGCGTCTTTTCTCCCTTACAAGCATGTGTGAGTCACTACCGCAGCCGAGTCTGATGCTGGACGTCGGTATGCCTGCATCAAGGCGACCCGTCGAGACCGGTTTCCGATGAATCATCCCCGGCTGCTATGACGTCACTCCTGACGAAGCGCCCTCATGGCTGGCAGGTGTCCAGCAACGTGAGGGAGAAGTTCGCCGTGATGTTCTACATCCACGGCGGCGAGTTCACGCACGGCGCCTCCAACCTGTTCCCGGCGCACCTGCTGTCCGCCTGGGGCGAGGTGGTGGTGGTCACCTTCAACTACCGTCTCGGCGCGCTAGGTGTGTGCGCGCCGGCCGGTCGGCAGCCTCCGGCTGCAGCGCCTGCCACGACTTTAACAGCGGCGGTGAATGGATCCAGACATGTCAGAATCGTGGCTTTTGTTTGTTTGGCACTCTCGAACCATTGCTCTACCAGGCCGTTGATATTTCTCGGCTGCATGCCCTTTGCCTTTCACGGGCCATTGATCACGACGCAAATGCTCTTGGCCTGCCGTTAGCGGTCGCCAGGAGGCGCAGCCTTGCTGGACGACCTTGTCTCGGCACCACCCGTGCCTCCATCAGAGCGCCCACACCGCATTATGAATGACTTCCCCACGGGCGTGACGTACTCGGCTCTGGTGTTGTTTCCATCACCAAATAATCCCAGCTGCCTGGCCGCGCTGGCTCACGCCCCGACATGACAATGGTGATGTGATGGCGCCATTGTGCTGTCACGCACCGCCAGTGAGGAATATATGGCCGGACAGGGGCCGAAGAAGCGCCGGCCAGGAATGTGATGAATGGTATGGGAGACTGCGAGGTGGACAAAGAGCGGTGGATGCACGTTCGATGACGTGATAGAACTTTCGCAAAATGTTCCGCACGCCATACGGGGATCGATCCTGCGTCATAACGCACTAAAACATGTTTTGAATTGATACAGTTTTTTTCACTTTCCACTTTCCCCGTAATCTTGAGGCTAAAAGTGATTCTTGCGTGGAGAGAAAGTGACGCCTCCGAAGCCGACACCGCAGTTGTGCATCCGATAGCTGACGGGCACCGTGACCTTGCAGGCTTCCTGAGCACCGCCGATGAGTACTCCCCGGGCAACTACGGCATGCTGGACCAGGCGATGGCGCTGCGCTGGGTGTACGAGAACGTGCACTACTTCAACGGCGACCGCCAGCGCATTACCGTGTTCGGACCGGGCGCGGGCGCCGCCAGCGCCGGCCTGCTGGCCGTGTCGCCCAAGACGGCGCACATGGTGCACCAGCTGATCGGAGAGGTCAGGCTCGGTGGGGAGCTGAGTGCCGCGCGTCGTGAGGAGAGAGGAGGTGCGGGCGGTGTTAGGGGAGGCGGAAGGTGTTGTGAAGTGTCAGAGTGGGGAGGAGGTGCCGTGCGGTGTCAGGATATATATATATATATATATATATATATATATATATATATATATATGGGGGTGGGGGTGTATATGTGTGTGTGTGTGTGTGTGTGTGTGTTTGTTTTTGCCGAAATCCTGCCCTGGTTATCGTGATCATCGCTTCAGAGCGACCGAACGCTGTCTCCGCGCTCGTTTCTGCAGCGGTGTTACTGCGTTCGCAGAGTGGCTCGGCGCTGGCCGAGTGGGCCGCCATCTACGACGAGTATCGCGTGCAGAACACGTCTCGCATATTCGGAGACAAGATCGGCTGCATCTCCGACAGCAGCTACAAGCTGCTCAATTGCCTTAACAAGGGTCGCAGCGCTATAGAGATCGGCAACGTCGAGTTCAAGGTACCGGGCCTTGCACACAACGGTGCTGGTGGCCAAGGCGGAAGTACAACCGATCTTGACGTTGGATACGCATCGCCTGCTGGCTCAAGCTAGTCTAGGCGTTATTTCAGTCCTGTGTGTTCCCTTTGTTGGGTTGGTTCTTTTGTAACCTATGTAGTTTGGTAAGAGTTGGCAGAATGTATGTCCTGAACTAGTACCAGTTGTTTTGTGTGGCATGAAGAACGTGTACTTCCCCTCGCAGTCGACTCCTGTTTTGAGCCCCGTACTGATGAGCACGCACCCTCCATTGCACCCGGAACGTCCCCTCCCGGGCCCTTCTCCCGCCCCGCCACGGTCTGACGGCGACCGCCGCGCGCCGCCAGCCGGACGTCGGCACGTTCCCGTGGGCGCCGTTCGTCGAGACGAACGTGACTTTCCCGGGCAACGACTGGTACGAGGAGTGGCACCAGGAGGACTGGCGCTTCCTGCCCGACTTCCCGGAGCGGCTCTTCAGGCGCCGCGAGTTCAGACAGGGCCTGAGCGTGCTGACCGGCGCCAACCGGGACGAGGCCGCCTTCTTCGTCTGTGAGTGAACTCCAGACGACCTTGTCGGGCGCCTGTCGTGTTCAGTTTTACTCTGGATGACTTTGCCGGGCGCCTGTGAGGTCAGTTTCATTTCGGACGACCTCGTCGGGCTCCTGTCGTGTTCTGTTGCACTCCTGCCGACCTCGTCGGGCTCCTGTCGTGTTCTGTTTCACCCTGCCGACCTCGTCGGGCTCCTGTCGTGACCAGTTTTACTCCTGTTGTGTGGCGCTGTCATCCTCTGGTTTACTTCTGCCGACCTCGTCGGACGCCCGTCGTGTTCTGTTTTATTCCTGACAAACCTTGTCGGGCGCCTGCCGCGTTCATTTTCCCTCCGGACGACCTCGTCGGGCGCCTGTCGTGTTCAGGTTTCGGCACGGGGCGAGCTGTGGACGAGGCAGTGTTCTTATTCTTCTTCGTGTGTGTAGATGCATGCGTTCCGCCTCAGTTTCCTTCAGGTCGGGGCCCTGTTGTGGCGTGCGGTTGGGGTGTACGTCCTTTGACTGCCCAATGGCATCATGCACAGACTCTCTTGACTGTGTCCGTATGTCGCGAGACTGCGCACGGACGGTCTGTTCGGTGGAGCGCCTGTCGGCATGGTGGCCGTGTTGGCATGTCGCCGGCTGACGACATGGTATCCCCGTGTTTGTAGACCCCTGATGGCGGTGTCCGCTGAGTACCTCCTAAAAGGACGTCCGTTGGCTGCCCCCCCCCCCCCCCCTTCCCGTCTAGTGGCCCGTGCCAGTGATGTTCAGGGAGCGACTCTCAGCAGGATTTCTTCTGAGTGTCTATGACAGGGCGTCCTATGGCTGTCACGTTCAGGGTGTTCGAGTGTCGCTGACAGGATGTCCTACGACTGTCACGCACAGGATGTCTGAGTGTCCCTGACGGGGTGTCTGAGTGTCCCTGACAAGATGTCTGAGTGTCCCTGACAGGATGTCTAAGTGTCCCTGACAGGGTGCCTGAGTGTCCCTGACAGGGTGCCTGAGTGTCCCTGACAAGGTGCCTGAGTGTCCCTGACAGGGTGTCGGCGTGTCGGCAGACGGCAACCGCTCGCTGGCGCCGGACTTCGTCGTCACGCAGCGCATGCTGGACGACAAGATCCACGAGTGGGTCAAACAGTACAACTACACGCTGAACCCGGACGGCGTGTACGACGCCATCCGGTACATGTACACGTACTGGCCGGACCCGCACAACCGCACCTGGATCCGCGAGATGTACATCGATGTAAGTGCTGCGGTACACGGCGGGTGGGCACCACGCGCGCTCCTCGCCGCGAGCGAGCCGCGCCGCGTTTGGCAGCGGTGGGGGCTGGTTTGTTGGGTAGTGCCTCGCCTCTGCTGTTGGCCGGTAGATGAGGCCGTTCGCCGTTCAAATATTCTGTCCGCCTCGTTATCCACGTCATCGTCACCATCCGCTTCCGCGAGCGAGACGACCCGTGCAGTCATTGGGATTGAGTGGCGGAGATACGGCAGATTCAGCCCGGGCTGAAGTCAAAAGTCCACATTCATGAATGGCGGCTAGTTAACAGTTGGACGCGGCGGGCGTGTCACTGCCTACAATTTTACAGTGGGCCATCAATCAGGCCGTGATTGGTCGGAGACAAGACGCTCATCATCGCGACCAGGCGTGACGTCAGTTCAGTTTGAGACCTCCGTCTAGAGTTGCTGTCGTCAGCCGGGGCGGGGCGCCCGTCCAAACTGTCCGCGTCCAAACTCGCCACCATCGCTCCGCTCGACCGCCCGCGCCCGTCATTGCCTGTTCCAGTTCCTGTCGGACGCGCTGTACAAGGCGCCCGTGGACAGCATGGTGAAGCTCATGGTGGAGCTGGGGGTGACGACGTACCAGTACGTGCTGAACACGACCGTGGAGGCGCTGAAGGCGCCGCTGTGGCGCGAGGTGCCCCATGACCTCGAGTACTACTTCCTGACGGGCGCGCCGTTCATGGACCCCGGTGAGTAGCAGCCGCGGCCTGGCGTTGGCCCGTGGCATGGAAGTCATCTGGACGAATGTCGCGCCGTTTACGGAGTGTATAACTGCTGCCCAGTGGGTCACTCAGGGATGTGGAAGACGCTTAGGCGGGCTTGTCACGCCCAGCGAAAGGAAGGAACATGTTGTATTTTATTTAAGCCACTAAGGCTTAATATAAATGTTGGTATTTTTAGAGGTGAAATAGGCCGTAAAAGTGCCCCCCTCCCGCTTTGACCGTCCCTGGTGGAGACGTCCGTTAAGGCTAAAATAATCAGTGGGGGTTGTGTAAGTCACGCGAGCTTAGTCACGCGTTTCATAACTTTACGCATCTGGTCGTCTTTCAGAGTTCTTTGCGGAGGACATCAGAATCGGTCGGCAGATTTGGACGGAGGGTGATCGCAACATGAGCCAACTATTCATGGAAACGTTCTCCAACTTCGCCAAATACGGGTGAGAACCACGTCGACTGTTCGCTCACGTGCCTTAAGCCCAAGCCGGTGAGAGCTAGGTGCGTGCGGTCTGGCGGGACGATGGCAACACCGCGCGCCGCGCTGTCTCGTGGACGGGGCGAACTGCAAGCGGCGCGATCGATGGCCCCGTTTACAGGCGTCATCGGCGCTGTTTCGCCCCCAGGCGACCGACGCCGCGGCAGATCTTCGACTTGGTCAACTGGCAGCCGGCGCTGGCTGGCGACCTGCGCTACCTGAGCATCAACAACACCTTCAACAGCACCATCTTCTCCAACTACCGGCAGACAGAGCTGTCGTTCTGGAGCCAGTACCTGCCGACGGTGGTGGGCCACCTGGTGCCCACCTACCGGCCCTCCACTGAGGTGAGATTCGCGCTCAACCATCCACGGTCGCCCCGAAGCGGTGGCTGGCTGCATTGTGCTTCGGAACGCGCTCCTTGAAGGCCACGGACTCTGAGAGTGTATGGACTGCCCAGCTGCCTTTTGCCTGGTTAAATGGGCTTTAACTGAAAGTTGTGTCGCGATTTGTAGTCGATGCAAACGACGGCTTTGATGCGATGAATTCTGAAACTGCCGTTTATGCTCGACATTGGTGTGGGCGGCCAAGTGCCTGGAGTTTAAGACTGGACCCAGATATCGCAAAGTCATTGGATAGTAGTAACGCCATTCTTGCGATCGGTGTCAGCACGCTTGGCCGATGCTTGCGGTTGTTTTCGTGACGTGTGTTTGTTCCCAGGCTGCAGCCAGCTCATTCACTTCTACGTGTTACGCTGGGTAATGTTTGCAGTTCTGGTGGGAGCCGCGCGAGCCGCTGCAGATCGCCTTCTGGTCTGTGACGTCACTGGCGTTCCTTCTGCTCGTCATCGTCGGAATCTGCTGCTGCCTATGGCAGGGTGCCAAAAAGTATGATCTCAGAGAACTGCATTGAATCTTGACGAAAGAATAATTTGTACGCAGCGCGTGCTCACGCATGACGTAATTTAGTGATAACGTATGTGTAATTTTAACACAGCACGCGCTCCCGTAACGTTGATGCGCCAACAAATCGTCGACAGGCCATTGAAAGGAACCTTGATAAAAGAACTCCCTATCGCATTTTGGAAACCAATGCATTTGAGGAGACCGGTCGCTGTGAATAAGTTCGATTTAACGTACGTAAACCATGGAGAAACGATAATTGACAAGGATTGAACGATTATGGGTATGCACATCCATTTTGGTCCCCGTTCTTCTAGCACCATTCTCTACGCCTTGCAGAAAAACCGACCAGTTCTACGAGGAGTCCTTCATGGAGGACCACTTCGAGGTACGCGAGAACAGCCACTTCGCGGCCAAGCCGAGCAAGCCTCCGTCGGTTGCATCGCTGAGCGGCGGCGCCGCGGCGGCTGAGCCGGCGCGCGCCGACGCGCGCTCGGTGGCGCGCGACATCCAGATGGACCGGCGGCGCCGCTCGGACTCTGGCCGCCAGGTGACCGGCTCTGTGCAGCAGGAGGCCTGCCGGGAGCCGCTGGTGCGCGAGCCGCCGCCGCGCGTGCCCAGCAGCCAGGCGCAGAGCGTCACCGAGTTGGAGCCGTTGCGCGGCTCGGCGCCGTCCGAGCCGTTCACGCGCGAGCCGAGCCGTGCGTCGGCGCGCTCGCGCGACACGGTCCAGTACGCCACGCTGGAGCACACGGCGCCGCTGGCGGCGGTAGCGCCGCGGGCGGCGCCGGCCGGCGAGCAAGCGACCCGGCTCGACCCGCGTCGCTCGGGCGGCGTGGCCGTGCTGCCGGCGGCCGGCGGCGAGCGTGTGCAGCCGCAGAGACAGCCCCGGCCCAAGGAGGCGTTCGCGCCAGTGCCGCACGCCAAGTCGATCCCCAACATGGTGGAGTACGAGGAACGGCCGCCGACGCGTATCCGGCCCAAGTCAACCGAGGCGCTGGACCGCGACGACGAGTCGACCTCGTCGCGGCCCGGCACGCCCAAGGTGCCGCACTTCCAGTTCGTCGAGCCGTACGACGTGGTGCAGCTGCCCAACGACTACCAGTACAACTCGAACCCGAACCTGGCGGCGCCCGAGTGGCGGCCGCCGCGTGCGGGCGCGGCGCCGCCGCCGCGGCCCGTCGGCTACACGCCGCCCGCGGTGCGCCCGGTGGCGCCCGACCGACCCCCGGCGCCGGCGCCGCGTGCCGCGCCGGCTGCCGCGCCGGCGCGCCTGCCTCCCCAGCACCAGGCGCAGATTGTGGTGCAGCTGGCGTCGCGCTCGCAAGAGCCCAGCCGCGACCCGACGCCCACGTTCCGGCAGAACGGGCAGCCGCTGCCGGCAGAGACGCCGCCGCCGGCGTACCGGCGCGCCGCGCCTGCCGCCGCCTCGCCGGACGGCGAGAACAAGCGCGTGTTCGGCCTGCTGCAGGAGAACGTGCGGCCGGCGGCGCCGGGCGACGGCTGGCGCGCCGGCGTCGACACGCCCACCACGTCTGGCGGCTACCCGCCCACCATGTCGGAGCGCAGCCTGCCGGAGACGCCGACGGCCTCGACCGACCGGAGCTTCGACAGCGGCGCCGAGCTGGGCTACCGCGGCCAGCCGCGCCGTTACGTGCCGCCCGAGACGGCACTGTGAGGCGCCGGCCCGCCCGCGGCGCGAGGCCGCTGCGTCGGGCACGTTCAGAGCCACTGCGTCGGGCAAGTTCGTAACCCGTGAAGTGCATGTGACAGTGTTGCGAGGCGTCGTCTGACAACGCTCCGAGTCGCAGTCGTGCCACGTTCTGAGCTACAGTCGTACCACGCCCTGGGCTACAGTCGTACCACGCCCTGAGCTACTGGTCCGCAGCGGGAGGAGTCACTGCCCTGTGGTGTCGTGATTGCTTCACAGTAGTGCAGTACTGTGAGTCACTTGGTGTAGTGCTGTTAGTTACTCTTGTGTCGCCTGAGGCTACGTTCCATATGGTCAGGTGGCCCGCGGGCTGCCTGCTGGGTCCTCCACGTGGGACTGTTGTGTCCGCGGTGTGTCCGCTGGCGGGAGAGTTTAGCGCGTCCTTAAGATGTTTTGTTTCCGTGAGTGTGGACGTGAGTTGACACTCCAGAGTTCAGCGTTACTGAGAACTGCAGACACACGAATCACTATTGGTCATTAAGTGTTTTTGCCCTGTATTATTCGCACTAACGGTATGTTTTATATGTGGTGTGTTTTGATCCCACGATTAGGGTGTGTCGTAACTCTTAATGTCGCTGTGTTCGAGGTGTTTGTGTTACTCTTCGTGTCTCCGTCGTTGAGGTGTCGAGGAGCATTTAAATCAGTCAAGTGTCCGTACAGTATGTTACAACCTTGTAATATGCCAAAGCAGCCATCATGAAGGTTAGGTTTTGTGGCTCGTGGATTGGGAAATAAGTGCGTCGGATGTCTAATATTTTTGATCAACGGATTTATTATATGCCACTACTTAATGTTGGACTCCTACTTATGTCTATGAGCACGAAATATCCGGCGTCCTACATCGTGTGCGTGTTATTTCTGACCCGTACCACTCCAGGATGTTGTGTTAATGCTTAAAGGCCAAATGTGCTCTTGACATATATATTCACGCTCTCATCCTGGCGTTGAAGTGCGGTTGTAAATGTACCTAGATGCATGCGATGATCAATTTAGCATGTATTTTCCATGTACTTTACACTGAGTGAATGGGATCCGTCCATAATGCCTTTACATTATGCTGCGGGGCATACCTGGGCAATGTGACATGGTTACATCATCCCGGTCATTTGATATCACCGTGCCTTTGACTATTACTGCTATCAGGGTAATCAATTGGCATTTGCTTGTCACTAACGGCCATCACGAAATGATTGCGAGGGTATTGTTAACGGTGATGCACAAGCCTGTCGTGTTTCTGATCCACCAAGTGTGATGACAGGATGTAATGGAGAGATGTTAAACGTTCGAGGTGTTTATCATATTCAGTGTTAACCTGAAGGACCCAGTCAGTTTTTGAGAGAGTCACTCGATCTCCGATGCGACATTCAAGTAAATGCCAAACGTCGACGGTAGCAAGGCGTACTAATTGTCATATATGTGTTTTCTATCCTTTGCACAATTTGGTTGAATGGCCCAACGATTTCTGTGTGACTTTGTCGTGAGATGTTCTGCTCAGCGCATCAATGTGCAGCAAGCGACGTCATTGTCTTCTGAGGCATTTGGGGATCCCCTTGGTACTCCACACCAGCATACTGGTCCGATAGTGGTTGGGGATTTTAGTCGCACTGGCTGTTTTAGCCGCGGCCCATATTGACTATGCGGCGGGGAAAGATCGCCGCTGCCTGTTCTTACATCACGCGATGTCGAGGAAGGGAGATAAGCCGCCGCTCGGCTGCACCGCCTCAGGGAGTCTTGCATGCCAACTGCCATCCAGGACTTCCCGGGCACGCGCTGCGTACCACAAGACTGTATCCGTGGACGTTGGTAAGCTTACACACGACTGATTTATTCTTGAACGCTGGCGACTGGTGTTCATTGCTGCTCCCACCTGCGGCGACATATTGCTTGGTAGTCTGTACATGAACGCGTAACGTTTATTTCCAGACATGAGTTGATGCCGCACGCGTGATCATCGTGATTATTACGTTGCTCATGTAATGACGTCATCATGAGCTTGACGTGCTACGTGTGTGCATCGGGCCGTCTTGTCATTAAAAAAATATACGTTTCAATCAAATGACAAGCACAGGAAGTTTATAATCACAAACATTCGATTACTGTTGATTACAAGACGAGCTTCGAGTTGATGTTTTGTTTTGCTAATGGACGGAGGTGACTGGCCCTATCCGCATCAGTAGATCCTCATGTCTCGACAAAACTAAGAACTAGGAAAACGGCAAGTGCTGTTTGTTTCGACCCCGATGATGAGCGAGGACGGGCCAGAACATACATCATGAAGCAGTGGATTGTATCTGTCCACAGCATCTGTGAGCGGTATGCTTTCTGATAGCACGCAACGGCAAACGATTTCTGAAGCAATGATCGTGAGCAGCAAAGCCGCAGACCGCAGATCATATCTTGTGCACCAAAAACATTGCAGATAAATGCCTCTCTCGCACAACTCCAGCGGTAAATTTTTCCATGAATGATGCACGCACATGGAGGAATAAGGCTTCAACACTTTCTTTGAACCTTAGGCCTAACAGTGGTATCTTTCTTACGTCAACATGACAATAAAGTAGAAAAAAGCTGTTGTATCACTATAACAGTAAGGACGGGACAGCAGCTGTGTCCAATCGACAGGTATATTGGTGAGTCGAACTGCTCACCCTCCAGTCATACCAAGGCTCCGTTACATTGCCAAGATAGGGCTACCATTTAAAGCAAATGCTATGGAGTGGGAATGACGTAAAGGCGCGACCAAGTTGTCCCGTGGGCCCTCACATTTGGAAGGCCCTGATGAGCTATGCGTGATTTAATGTTGCCGTTTGACCTTCGTGATTTTCAACCTTGTATGAATTGATATCTTACATATCGTCACCATGCGCTTGCTAGCACGCCTGAGTATAGAACCATTTTAGAGCCATTTTAGGGCCACTCATGGAGTCATTTTCTAATCCTCACCCAACAAAAAAGGCCCTGATGGGACTTTCCGTATTAACTTTCTAGCTAATGCAGGTAGAACGACGAAAAATGGACGGAAACGGGAAAAGGAATGTTTCACATTTAAAGACATTGCTGCAAAGATCAGATATGATTAAATAAGCTCACTTACAATTATTTGTATACTTTCAAGTGGAAAAGAGTGCTCTAAGAATATAATTTCTCCGTTTCGTAAATATACTCCCCAATACGTCATTGATTACCTCATTGTACCTTGCACGCCTTTGACTGAGAGGCAACTGACGGACGATTTATATGGAGATCATGCTCACGAACGCCAGATATTAAACTCGACAATAGCATTTGCCCTCCCCGAAACCACATAGCCAATGAAATGGCATGACTTGAATGTCACTAGTACGACATCATCAATCCCAAGGTGACCTTGAAATACTCCCCTGAAAAGTATTCCTATCTTCGCGGGCGTATAGCTCAGAAACTAGAGGAGCGCATGCCCAAAGAGGGCCAGAGTTGTGCACTGCACTAAATGGTCTTCAAGATGGCTATTGCTGTTCGAAACCCCATTCAAATGTGAAAGACTTCCTTTAGCATAGTTTCAGTGCTGGCGTACCTGGAACTGCACCATTGCGGTTAAAACGAGTATGCTGCATTAAGCCATCAAGTGATCACAGCATAACCAGCCGGCTAACCGCAACCAGTCTTGGAATTACGAGTAGTGCCTTCCGCGGTCCCTTAACACGCGCTCGGGTGAGGGGCCAATCTGAACCCCAATAGCTATTTCCAGTATGACTGCCGAACGGCGCCAAGCTTTTCATGACTGTTGACAGTTGAAGAATGGGTGCTTTGGTACACAGAAATTAGATTTAACTGGTGAGGTCACTGACCTATGGCAGGTAAAATCTAGGCCGTGACAATTTCTAGCAATTTTCAACTTAAGCTAGCAAAGGGAATTTCCAGGAAATCGTTTAACCTCATGCGACAACGGAATTGGACGAAGCCATGCATCTCTGAGATAGCTTATTAGGCAATGGAATTAGGCACAGGTGTGAAATTCAGACTGAGATATAAACCAACCAACCTGCTTTGGTTTTCTTGGGACCTCGTTCTATGAGATAGTTTGTGGTGTTCTTTCATAATTCGTTAACAACAGGGACCGCAACAGACATCTTCTATGACCGTCTCAAAGGTCAGGGTAGGTCACTGACCAAAAGTAAACCAGGCTAACATTTCGTCGTCTTTTTAAAGAGCATATCGCCTAGTGTAACCTTTGATGCTTATTCATATGCCAAAATGGAAGCAATCTTGTAGGATCTTGGTCACCATGATCTTCCAAAGGTATGAAGGTTACTGACCTTAACTAAAAACCTGCAGCCTTTTGCTTACAGCAGTCATCTAGGTTCAAGGCGGTTGCATGAGAAGGTCTGGGGGCACTTTGGACATCAATCTAGAGTTTGGCCTTGTTCGGCCTGATTTGACTGGAAGGTTACAACCTAGAAACCTCCAATTTTGATACATATGAGCTCACATACAAGTCAACTCACCCTGACGAGTTGGGTCTCTAGCTCTCTTAACTTTTTGGTATCCCCAGGGAGGTTTCAGTTGACACCCGCTTAAGCGAACGGTATTCAATTGACTATATGAATGCTCTTAATGCAGTCTTTAAAAGGAGTGCTCCACATGTATATGGAGTTTTCCACTGAAATGGCTACCTTGAATACCTTGTCATGCTATCCACAACTTTGCCTTTCTTGAGAGCTGAGCCCCTCTGGTTTCTGAGCCACACACCCGCGAAGATGTGGGGAGTATTTTGGGCAGAATATTTTAAAGGCGCCTTGGCATGCATGACGCCATAATGAACGCTATGCAAATCCTATCATTTTATTAGCCATGCGGTGATGAAGGCCAAGAAAAATCGAATTGCTGAGGCGGACATATCTGGCGTTCGTAAGCTTAATTTCAAGATATAACGGCCGTCAATCGGATCTCAGTCAATATTGCCCAAGGTACGATGACGTAATCAACCTACGACGCATTGCTGAAGCCTGACAAACATTCCTGGTAATTCAGTTCAATCCCAACGCCCGGACACCCGTGCGGTTCTTGGAGCGTTCAGTGCTGCAAGATGTTCGTGGTAAGTAATTTTCGAAGCTGTGAACCGAATATTTGGTATGGGTCGTTGCACCCTTCCGTGGCTTATGAGTCTTAGCTTCGTGCTTTAC